CTTGTGATGGAGCGAAATTATTTAAAACTGATTATAACATAAAAGATACATCGTGAACTAGAGAAAAAAAAATATCACCAAGATTCTTGATTTAGAACCCAACATCACTTAGTCAAAGCAATAAGACTTTAAACAACTTATTTTTAAGGCGGGAACAGCATCGTTTCTCCTCCCATTTAAAAGCTGCTAGGACATCACAGCGACCAGAAAAGCTGTTAGTGAGGATGTCTTATCACTGAAACACTGTGAGTGTAACAGGGGAGGCTCCCAAAGCACCAGCCAGGCAGCAAGAAAATTCCCTCGCCTTTAAAACCAGCCCCTAAGCCCTTTGGACACCACTTTAAGTCACAAATGTAGGACAGCTGTGGAGTAGCTAATGTCTCGTCGGATCCTCTGGAAGAGCAAAAACCTCCCAGCCTTGTGCTCAACCACCAGGCAATGCTCCTCTTCACATATAAAAGGTAATATAAAGTATTTGTGCCAGTATGCTATTCATGGAAGCAGCTTTTTGGGTGGTTTTAACGAAAAGGACACATCTTTGAAAAGTTTCTCTTTTTTTTTCCCCCATAGTTGCATGACTGTTTATGTAGAGAAATATAAATTTATATAAATGTATACATATATATAGATATATTATACATTATAGGCATATACATACGTACATATATACACACAGAGATATATACACCTACACAGAGTGGTATATACATATATATAACTATATATACACACGAACACGCTCACACACACACYGCTTCCTTTCTTTTTATTTAAGCTAGATATAGTTATAGATTCTCCCTCCCTGCAAACAGCCCACGTGGTCGGAGTCTGCCCTTGCCAAACTCCTTATGCTTTTCTTTCTGTCCCAAATAAAATATAAAATACTCATTGTTTTTCCTCATTTTCTGGTTCCTGAGAAACTTGGCAATGTTTCTGGGTGACTTCAGAAGTAGCAATACTTCTCAAAAGTTCATTTCTACACCTTGACTGGCCAGCATGTCCATCTATAACTACACACATGCACAGTGTCTATATATATATATAAAATACATATATTATATATATGTATGGACTGTGCATGCTTATCGGATCACTTCCRTTATACTCATTAGTGTCTGTGTTCCCCTAGGAGCTGCAGTACGGGAGGGATTTGCTGCCACTCTGAGCCAACAGCAGCTGGTTTGGGGTCGCTGCCAGGGGAGCATCCTTGCTTCATCCCCACCATGTACCTGCTAGGGATCCATGTGGATCATGCTTGGGGTTCAGAAGGCTTCAACGGGATTGCAAGGACAATTTACCAGCAGATTTACCGTTGTGCCATACAGAACAACATCTGGAGGTGCAAAATACCCCTCGGCTGAGAAGCCCAACAGACACAAGCGTGGTCTTTTGTTGCCATGAGTTAGATGAGCGTTTGTATGAGCACGTTTTTTACCTTTACAAGAAATATTTGGGACACTAGCGAGATGGAGGCTGATTAAAAACTTGGGCCAAGTGTTGGAGAAAGGGCATTTTCCCCCCTTTTTCTCTGTGAGAAATTGTTTTACTTGCTCTGAAAACAGAGATTTCAAGGAGATTTCCATGCTACTACTGACTTCTCCGAAGCTGCCTGAGCTTCAGTTCCTGTGAAACTGATGCCATCCCCGTCGCTTCCCTCCACAGCACTGGCCCATTATTGCACATAGGCAAGGGATTTTCTTTCTTTTCGTTAGTTACATCCAGTAATTATTTGCTGGTTTAAAACTGAAGGAGAGAATTAAGCACAGACCTGGACCTAAAACAAAATATCTCCCCTTGCCCTACTCCTTCGATTTGAATACTCTCTGCTTTCCAAAGCAGACAGGTTTGGGGGGGGACACTGCAAGAAAACAGAGCAGAAGTGACACCACAAGAGATGTTTGCAAACAGCTTTTTCAGCAGTGCGTTTTTGAAGACTGCTCAGACATGCCCTGGCACCACCAAAACTCAGTTCCCTAAAGTGCATTTTTTAGAAGCTCAGCCYCCCAAGAAGCTCCCATCGCACCAGGAAGGTGCCGATGGTCCCAGCCRCTTTCCAAAGCGAGAGGACAGAGCAGAGCAAACGCATTTCTGCTCTGCTCCCGGGTGGCAGGAGCAGCGACCAGGCAGCTCCTCTGCTCCGTTGAACACAGGTCCTCCATTCTCCAAGGAAAAGGGTAAATACAACTGTGTTTGAAAGGTCTACTAAAAAARTACACTTCACTGCAAATTGTCACATTGCAATTTTCCTCTTTCCAGTCATATTCCAAACAAAACCAAACCAAACAACTACCAAAAAAACAAACCAAATTGGCCTTGATTTCGAAAMCCCAAATCTCCAAGGTTTAATGACAGATTTTAATTCAAGGATGGTCCAGATAAGGGACATTTAAGAAACCAGAATTAAAACCTAAGGCTTACGCAGCCTGCYGGAAAACTCATCTTAGTCCTGTGGTAGGCTGATTTAATTTTGAACAAATTGGGTTAGAGAGACTATTAACAAATTCCTATTCTCAATTCCTTAACAAATAAAACARCTACTGCCTCCAAAAAGGCAAGGTGAAAGTGAAGAAAACAAGAAACGATTTCACGTAGTCAATACACCAATGTCACTTTGTCATTTAGGGCAAAGCCATCACGGTGCTGGCGATGGTCTCTGCAGGAGGAAGACTCCCAACCCTTTTTTCTTTTTATTACTGCTTTGAGCTGCTGCTCCCATCAGCAGTGGTAGCTAGTGATCCCAGAATGTTCCTCCAGAATTCACAGGGTATAGGGACATTCTTCAGAGAGTTAGAAAATTCTGGTAGAAAAATAAGGATGTCTTAAAAAGCAAAWGGACCTTAAACTTTCAATATGCGATATACGACTGTTATTAATATTTTATRTTGTGCTACACCCTCTATTACTATCTATTCTTATTAAGGCACCCAGCATTTTAGTATTGCATATACATTCTTCATAATATCTAAAAGCAATCACACATTTAAGATAAAGATCCTTAGCATTCAGAAACCCAGTGACCGACCCAACACACATGGAGATTTCCCAAGAAGACAACTACAATTCCCATAGCCATCCCAATGGCTCAGCTCYAAGAAGGCCTTTGAGCCTTCTCCCATCCTTTTTCCACAAAAAATGAACCGACACTGCTCAGAAAATCAGCACACTATCGATCACATTAACAGGAAAATCCCGCTATGGAGGAACTTTTCCAAACGTTTTCCCAGCTGTCCAAGATAAGGTACCACAATTATCCCCGATATCCTTCTAATGAAAATTGTGTGCAGGAGAGCAAGCCCRGGGCAGCAAGCATTGAACAAAGCAACAACAAAAAACTTCCATAAAAACACTCATCAACATCACCCTTGGACCTTAAACCTAAATGTTTCTTCCTTGAAAATAATAGTACAGAATTTTAAAATGAGTGGAAAACGGGTCGAACAAAAGACATTTTAGGAAGCTATATCAAATGCAATTGCCAATTCCACATTAATGTTCCTGCTTTCTGGGACAAGATAATATTACCAGGGTATTTCCAAATGCAGTATTAATGATCTTGCTGATGACATTAGATCTAAACTCCATTTTCCCCCTTTCTAACATCTGCGGARATGCACAGTTATTTATCTTCATGGAAATGCTCTTATTTTCACATAAAAGGTATTCACGATAGTTTAGCTAATTTCTGGCCTGCAGCACAGGTGAGCCGACAAAGTTACTATATTGGTAACAAAGCAATTTTCTCCATACCCTTACTTGTCATATTCCAAGATAGCACTGTGGAGCACTTGCTTCAAAGTATTTGAGTCCACTGAATATATATTGTAATTTTCTGGGTAGATCAGACCTTACTCTTGGTCCAGGTCTGGGGACTAAAAGCGAGCTWTAATTTGATTCATGCACAGCTGAATTTATGGGGTATTTCATCCCTAGGTGTCAATAGCAGCAGAACTGGTGTTTTGGCAATGGGACTTGCTGCATCTGCATGGTGATAAATGGGTTTCTTCCACTAACACCAGTAGGCCTGGAATTAGGGTTTAGTTACATCTACCAGATAACACAGAACTTTTTCAAAAAAAGGGGGAGAAAATATAAAATAGATATACTTCCACTCCCATCGATTCATCAAGAATTAAAAGTAGCATTTGGAGGGCAAAAAAATTGTTATTAGTATGAGGCAACTGTAAAAATGAACATTGGGCAAATACACATCTAACATGGAAATTATTGCATCATATTTTATAAGCCTTAAACAGATTCAGTGCAAAAGTCAGATATAAGAAAGTCAGGTTTTTGAATAAGCTCTGGGACAACTGGGAAAATAGGACTAGGCAAGGCCCAGCCATCTGATTTCCAAGAGAAAATCCATGTGACACTGGCAAATGCCCTTGGAAAAGGTGCACTTCTGGAACAAGTTCACATCTATGTGATTGCAAGTGGCTGGAGAGCTGCCAGGTGCTATAACCAAGAGTTGAGTAATAGAGATAGGCAAYGAACTCCCAAACTTGCAGCCAAATCCTGCACACCTTATTCACGTGAACATCTCTGCTATACTTAAGGCCAATTCTGCACATCTTGCTTATGTGAACAGCTCAACTTCACCTCAAGTAGGTACTTGAGGAGAGTAGAAGGAACGTGGCAATCCTGCGCTAGGTACACGAGCATTTCAGAAACCCAGAACGTGGCATATCAGGGTTTTGTGGAGATTTTTCCCTCATGTTGCTGCACGTGTTCACAGCATAGGACACCAGCTGGTCAAAACTTTGCCTTTCTAACTGGAAAACACATCAGCGGGGACATGCACAAAAATGTTCTTTCTCTGGAAAGTRTTCTGACAAAACCTTGAGCTGCAACGGCTAAACCCAAATCTACTGGATCACTTAATAAATGACCCCTCCAGTATATTCAGTAGTGGTAGCAACACAGCTGTTGGCCTTCAGAGACAGAACCCTTTCCAGAGGTCAGAATTCACATGAACAGAGCTGTTATTCATACCATAAAACCCAGCATCCTTGGTAATACAGCGCAGAGATACACAGAGCAATCCCTAAGTCTCAGACAAGCCTTTTAAACCAGGTATAAATACATTTTTTACATCAATGACAATATCCAGGAGACACAAAAATGCACTGGTAATTGAACATCACTATTACTCTTTCTATATCCCTGTATTGAGTCATGRCAGGAGAGGTTTGGGACTTACCTGGCCTTTTTTCCTTTTCCACCTGTGGGAAGAACCTCAGGAAGTGAGTGAGTAAAAATAAACACATGATGAAAGGCTCGTTACATGGTAATGAGCATCAGCGGGGGAAGAGCTGAAATAGGTACCAGCTACTTGACATACAGCCATGGAATAAGCTAAAAAATATTTATTTATTTAAAATAGTACCCCATCCAAGAGCTCCAAAGTGCATGTGGATCTTTTGACTTTATTCAGTTCTTTCCCAGTGCTATCAATGCTACCAAGAATTCTGCTGATAACCAGAGCAATCCCTATCAGTTTGGTGTTGCCCGGGCCGAAGCACGTCACAGATCAGAGCTGATGGATCCACTTTTGCTTCCTGCAGTGCAAAGTGATGCTCCCACCCACTCAGCCTCAGCTCAGCACCAGGAGACAGCAAACCAGGACACATCCTAGCACGCATTACAGAGATCAGTTAAATATTCTGACCATTTCCAAAGGGAATCATCCCCAAATGATTCCAGTGAGTTCCCAATGCACACGGAAAAGGAAGTTTCCTACACAAGGAAAGAAAAATAACTCAATGTAAGCCAAAAATTATCGCTTTTAATACAAAATTCCATTCTCATAAAACAAATATTTTTTTTTTCCCACGGAATAAATAGACTTTCTCACCCCTAGCAGGTGAGATTACTACCTATAGTTATGCTGAGATGCTCTTGCCTTTATGGAGTTTAAATAAAATACAGACATTATTTATAAGTGGCTTTGCTATGTTTTGATACAGCATATGAGCACTCGGGGCCTGTTGACATTGCCAAGAGTCTAGCGCACCGCTCTCGCTGGGGGTTGTACTTTAACCTGGGCTTTATAACTCCACGCGTTACCTGCATGCAGTGTTATCAATGTATTTGTAAGGTTTATTATAAGAAGGACCTGGCCTTTGCACTTTGATGTTTATAATTTTTCAACATGTGCATGCTTGTCTAATATACACAGGTGAAGACAAAGAAAAGATTAGCGCTGAAGGCATTGGTCATAAAACATGATAAACCCAACAGAGGAACGTGGGAGGTTCAAATGCAGGCTGTTTTAACCAATAATGCAAAGCTGATGCTGGATGTACAGACGTTGGGAAGAGGCCCTGCACCTCAGGGYACATTAGCGAGTACCAAGACTCGGGAAATCGTTTCTGTTCTGGCACACCCAAGTCCATAGACAGAAAAGTCTGCAATAAGCACACTTGCCAAAGCCATAAATAGGGATATTTGGGGTGAGAATAAGCACTCGTGCTCCCATCCCCACTACAAAGAAAAAAATCCCCATTACAAAGAAAAAAACACTGCGTGTGGGGAGGGAAATCAAGTGGTTAGACAAGAAATCTGCTGTCTGGTACGGCACTGCGGCCTGTGCAAAAGCTGTGCAAAAGCTGCAGAACGGTGCTCAGAGTCCTAAAGACAACTATAAGTGACTGGGGTTGGGGGGTATACTGGATTAATGCAAAGGAAACAGCTGGCAAAACATCTGGGCAAAGGCAGAAATAAGAAAAGTTATATGCCTATATCTGAAGATATATATATAAATATATATATTAATTTGTATCTGTTTCCATATCGGTGTGCGCATATGTATGCATGCAATGTATAGCATACATACATGTGCACACACCTCCATACGGCGCGCCTATACAGCGCTGGAGCTGCGGCGCCACCTGGCGGGCGCCGGCGCGCACCGCAGCGCTCCTTTTTTTTTCCCGAAATCGCCAGAATTTCGCTGCCTCCCCCCGCCAACCCCTCCTCCTGACCCCTCGAAATCCTGCTGGAAACCCCAGGAGGAGAGACGCGGGCTTCACCCTGCGGCCTCCTTGGCAGCAGGTGCAACGTGGGCATTGCAGGCTGAAAATCGTTTGGTTTTTCTGTTTTTTCATTAAAAAAAAAAAAGTCTCGGGCAGCAGGGGAAGCTGCACAGGGGGTTTCCTCTGTGAACATCACAGTGCACTGAGCTCTTATTAATAAAACAGCTCCCAAGGTTAAGTGGGGAAGGAAAGCTCAGTAGGGGGAAGCTTCAGGTTCAAGCTTCGTTATTCCTATATATATATATATGTGCATATATATATATATATATGTGTGTTCGTTTTTCTTTTCAAAATGTTTTATTAGGAAAGCTATACCAGACGCATCACTGTACAATGATTAAACATTACTTTTACAATTTATATTCACTTGAAATTACAGAATAAATATATGCACATCGTTGTACCTCTGTGTGTGTGTGTGTGTGTGTGTGCGTGTAGGAGAGAAAACATTAAAAGTGCTTCCTACAAAGCTGTTAGTGACAGGTGCCCAGGAGCTTTTTTTTTTATTTCCTTTTTTTTTTTTCTTCCTCTTTTTATTTTTTCCTGCATATTTGCACGTTGCTTTTATTAAGAAAGTGCGGTTGTCCTCCAGAAAAGAAAAAAAAAAAGAATACATAAATTAATTTAAAAAGGAAATAATAATCATAAAAAATAAGCCATGGTAGCATGGAGGGGTGTCGTGGAGCATCCCCAGGGGGGTGGGCGCTGCGTGGGGACATCCCTGGTGGGATGTCCCCCCAGAGTGGGGGGGACATGGGGGTGCATGGGGGGGTCCCCATGGGGGTGTGAGCGGGAGAGCGACGCGAGCGAGACATTCGAGCAAGACCCTTCCCTCCCTGCCCTCTTGCAGTTTTCCAGGCATGCAGCAAACAGCCTTCGTTTGCTTCTTTTGCATTTTGCTTTTTTTTTTGTCTTTTTTTTTTTTTTTTTTTTTTTTTTTTTAACTAAATGTACAGAATCTGTGCCATGGTGGGCGAGAAGAAAGCAAGCCACAAAGAAAAAAAGAAAAAAAAGAAAATTGTGTCTTCCCTCCCCCTCCCCCTCCCTCCAAGGGGAAATCTAAAGTTTTACTGCAACGGAAGAAGGAGAAAAATAAAATAAAAAAGAAGGGGAGAAAAAAAAGGAAAAAAAAAAAAGAGCGAGAGACACATAGAATTTACTTAATCAGGATCAATACAAAGATCCCCGGTGATAATAATAATAATAATAATAATAATATACCTTAGACATGGCACAGTCAAAGTCTCAGTTTCAGTATAAAAAAATAATGATTGGTTAACATCTGCTGGCAAAAGTCTGCGAAGGCACTTCGTGGCCCGTGGCCCGGGGCGGCGGCGTCAGAACCGGTACGTGGTCTTCTCCAGGACTTCGAGGTAATCCGGCTTGGTTTGGAGTTTGGCCCTTAACTCGAGGTATTCGCTTGTGGGGGTTTGGTGCTCGGGGAAGCCCTTCGCTGCGGCGAAGAGGAGGGTTTCCTTGAGCCTGGCGTCCTGCTGCAGGTCCGGGTATTGCATGCCGGGCGGGTGCACGTGCAGCTCCTTCAGCTTGGGCACGGTGCCGTAGAGGCAGTCCACGAAGGCCACGGCGCAGGGCGGCGGCGGCG